TTCTGGCGAGGATTTTTCAGCCCTCGCTGCAGCGGGAGGGGGCCCCGTCCCAGCCGAGGGTTCGGGCGGGGCGGGTGTCCCCCTGCGGGAACCGCTCGGGAGCGGCGTGGGCGGACGGTGCGGGACGGAAGGCAAGAGCGCTGCGCGCCCCCCGCAACGGCCGCCCGCCCGCAGGCCTTGCAGCGGGTTCGGCTCCCGTCCAGGCTGCGCACCGTCCGCTCCGCCAGCGCTGGGCTGGGGCGGGGCGGCCAGGCCGGGGAGGGGGGCCCATCGAGTGGGGATCCGCATTGCAGGGGCGCCCGGGCCCGGCCTGCTTGTCGGGGAGGCTGGGGGGGTCTGAGTCCACATCGCATTTCCCAGGCGTCCTCCGCCCCGGGGCGTTAGGGACCTTCCCGGCGCGGCCGCGCGGGTCCCGGGGGGCCTTGGCGTAAGGGCTCTACCTGCCGGTCCTACGCCGGCGGGGGCTCAGTTTCCCCGAAACGGGGCGCAGGCGCGGCCGCCGAGCTCCGGGGCGGCCCTTGCTCTGCTCACCTCCCGGGCCTGTTTGGTTCCCAGCGTTGGTGGTGAGCGGGTGGCCTGTTCCAAAGTGTCACAGCAACATCACAAGCTGCCAGGCGGTCACCCTTCATGGGGGGGGGGGGGGGGGGCCCCAAAACCCCCCTGGGAGAAAGGGGGGAAGCCGGAATCTTCGGGTTTCTAAAACTTTTAAGTTCAAATTTCCCTTGAAAGACACAGCTACTTGTTGAGAAAAAGATTTTTTTTTTTTTGCACAGTCAAGAATTCGCCTGCATTGTTGCCATTGAATTGTAAGGGAAAAGATGTTTACGTTTAAAGTGATGTTTGCTTTTACCTCCAAAGATGTGTTTGAATTTCTGTCTCTCTCTCGGCTAAATGTTCATCTTTATGTGAAATTTTTTTAAAAAAAAAATATTGATTTTTTACAGAGAGGAAGGGAGAGGGATAGAGAGTTAGAAACATCGATGAGAGAGAAACATTGATCAGCTGCCTCCCTGCACACCCCCTACTGGGGATGTGCCCGCAACCCAAGGTACATGCCCTTGACCGGAATCGAACCTGGGACTCTTCAGTCCGCAGGCCGACGCTCTATCCACTGAGCCAAACCGGTTAGGGCTATGTGAAATTTTAAAAATATATATTTTTTATTGATTTCAGAGAGGAAGGGAGAGGGAGAGAGAGAAAGAAACATCAATGATGAGAGACAATCATTGATTGGCTGCCTCTTGCATGTCCCCTACTGGGGATCGAGTCCGCAACCCAGGCATGTGCCCTTGGCCGGAATCAAACCTGGGACCCTTCAGTCCACAGGTTGACGCTCTATCCATTGAGCCAAACCAGCTAGGGCTTATGTGAAATTTTTTGGATAGAAGGTTTTAAGACTTGTGATGGGTACATGTGTGTATATGTGTTTGCATATACATCCGCACTACTGAAAAGCCTTAACATACAGTTGCGTTTATTACTCCTGCGCACCATGTTATAATTACCCAGCAAATTTAGTTTAGTTCTATTTAAAACCTACAGTGCAGAACAGTGATCAGATTTTTACTATAGCACATGTAAATACATCAATCTAACCAGCAAGTTTCTTAGAAATGAGGTATTTTTTATTGTTAATTCCTTTTTTTAAAGAAAAAAATAATTCTTTTACTTAGGACAGAAAGTCATCCATTTGGGTCCTTAACTCCTCCGCCTGTTATGTGTTGGTTAAAAACCATTCTCTCTCCATCAGTACTTACTTGCTGGGGTGTATTTGCAACGGCACTGGTGCTGCCAACAGTGTCTGTGCATGAAGAAGCAGTTGTTTTTACGTTATAAAGCAGTTTCTCACTTTTCTGGCAAGAAAGGACACGGGCCTTTTTCCTCCTTTCTGGAACAAGGTCAGCCGCGAGAAGTCCCCAGTGCCTAGGGGACGCCCACGATTGCTGAGATACGATTAACGTCTGCCAACTGGAGTAGCTCCCAAGGGCAGCCAGCCCCTCGGTGCCAGAGCGTCCAGACAGTCAGGTAGACACCAATCCTCACATCTCCAGCTTCCACGTTAAACCGGCCTAAACCGGCCGGAAGGTTGGAGCGGGGGAGTGGATGTGTCCCAGCTGCCTCCAGGTGTTCAGGGTCCGAGTGAGCAGAGAGATTGCGTGGAGTTAGAGCGGTTTCTGAGGACAGAGGAGGGAACATTGTTGCCTTACGGGAAGACAGACTTCACTTTGGCATAAAAGCACAAGCCGCCTCCGCCGAGCGCCTCCAGCCCCAGGAGGAAGGGCTGCTCTCCCCGGCGGAGGCTGCAGATCAGCCGCCCCGCTGGGCAGGAATGGCTGCGGGAGGCATCACCCCGACGCACTGGGAGAGGCCTCCGGGCGCCTGGGAGTCCCACGGGCCGGACTGGAGGGCATTGTGGTTCTTTTTCATTTCCTACCCTGCTGGCTTCCACAGTCGTGGGCGCAGCGCCCCTCAGGCACCAAACCGCACCCTGGGCAGAGGCCAGCCTGGGGCGAGAGGATCCTAAGCCCACTTTGCATTTGTATGGGGCCTTGTCGGTCACAGTCTCCCGCAGCAGTGTTTTGCTTAAAAAGGCTTTTTAACTACACGTGATTTGTATTTCTTCCTGCGGCTTTTGTTTTCTATAATAAACGTCTAATCAGAAGGAAAATTACCCTTTGCTATGGAAGCACATGGGAGTCTTTTAAAAGCTCTTCTTAAGAACAGGATGATGTCAGTCCTTTTGAGAGTCAGCAGGTCGCGGAGGTGAATAGATTGTTTTTCTCAGCTGAAGTTATTTTTTGAAAGACGCCGATTAAGGGCTGGCTCTTGTGCTCGCTCTGCATTTTAGCTTCTGTGTGTTTCATCCCTGAAACCTGACCCAGGCTGCAGAGCAGCGCCCAGGCCCGCCCGCCCACAGGAAGTGCACTGGGCCCTTTGCAGGACGTCTGTGCTGGCAGCTGAAGGTAAAACCAAGCCGTGACCCCCAGAGCCAGCTGAACAGCATCATGGGGAACACACATCAGCCTCTGCACACTCCACGGCCAGCAAGAAGACCCCGCGACCCTCCTGCCCATGATGACAACCGGGAGGAAAAACGATTTCCCCGCTCCCCACTGACCAAGAGCCCTCACCAGAGTTCGACCCACCAGAAGGATTTGGACTTCACGTGGAGAAGCCAGGCCCTCTGAACCGGATGCCTACGCTCCCAGCAACGGGTTCATCGGGGGCGTATTAGAAGCATCTCAATAAAAGTGGCCCTGGAAGAGTGTGTTGCATCCCGTTGGGGGAGGCTGAGACCACATACGAGACAGCAGTGCCCATGCAGAGCGGCGACCGCGCAGGCAGAGGCGTAAGGAAAAGGCGGGGTTGCATCCCGCTCTTTGGAAAACCCCGCGTGTAAAGTACAGCTGCCGTTCCCTCTGCCCCGTTTCTCCTGCTCTCCTCCCGCAGCCGGCGGATAGCGTCTGCGGTGCGTTTGTCCTTGTCGAGTTGTTTTCGGTTCTTTGTGCTGGGCTCATGTCTAACGGCTCATGTACCTGAGACGACGGCCCAAGTCTGGTTGCCACGGCAAACTCTAAAACGGCACCCCCAGCCCAGCCGTGTGCTCAGTGGTTGAGCATCGACCATGAACCAAAGGTCAGTGGCTCGATCCCCGGTCAGGGCACGTGCCCGGGTTGCCAGCTCGATCCCCAGTAGGGGGCATGCAGGAGGCAGCTGATGGATGTTTCTATCTTCCTCTCTCTCTCAAATCAATAGAAACATTTTTAAAAACCCACACACAGCACCTGCGCAACTTGCGTCCGGACCTCAGCCAGCCTCGCTCGTTCTGAACAGCAGGCCTTCTTACCCGGGTTTTGTGGGGAGTTCTCCTCCCCTGGCACTTCGTGTGCGATTCACTGAAGAACGAGAATGGGGGGTTCTGGGAGTTCTCTCCCTCCCTGACATCACAAAGAACCAGTGAGTGGAGAGAACCTCAGGGGAGTCGGGCTGAAATGTCACCTGGAAAACGTGCCTGACTCACCCCTCACGGCACAGGAAGTCACGGAGAGGACACGGAAGCAGGTGACTCATCCCTGCCGGGACTGTGGGCCGCTGATGGCAGGTGGACATGCTGACGCCGTCCGAGCACAGTTCTAGGAAATGACCATCTAGGTAAATGCCTCTTCACAGAATGGGCTCATCTTTAAAGTGTTGGTCCGCAAGCTGCTGTCCCGTAGAAATAAATGCCCAATGGAAACAGCGTGAGGTGCCCCTCGGTACGCAGTTACCAAGTTAAATGGCCGTGGAGTTGGTCTGGGTGGGCTGCTGGTGGGCAGTCATTTCGGAGATCTCTCCTGCCCCCGTTTAACTCCTGAAGGAACGAGGGTGGGCCCCTTTGTCGCCGGCCTGTGGGAGGCGGCGACTTCTCCCTGCCGCCTGCCTTGCTGAGTTGCGGTGCTGCCCACGGGGCCGGGGGGCCGGGCAGAGCGCCTCCAGATCCGTCACAGGGAGGAACCCTTTTCTCTGTGATGCCCCTCATCTCCGACCCCACGGAGGGGCATGTGAACGTGTCCTGTGGGTGCGTGACACAACCCGCCATGTGCGGTTTCCTGAGTGATAGAGGGGAGGGTGGCTGACCCACAGCAAACAGCGCTTCCGCTGAGAATGCGTTTCTCCCCGGAAACCGCGACTACAAGGCCCGCGACCTGGAGAAAAGCAGTTGAAATGGCTCATCCGTGCGTCAAGCCATAGAGAGAGATCTGTACAGCACCGGACATGTTTCCTCGGCCTCGGGAATACAGCGCAGATGGCGATCATCAGGGCTGAGACCGTCGGCGCGTCTGTGTGTCGTTAGTGTGACGAGGCAGGCGTGTGGGTCGCTGTCTTAGTTGTCAACCAGGAGACATGGGCGCCTGTAGCGATCCCCGTCAGGTGCCCACGGAGGCCCCCCTCGGGCAGGACCTGCCCCCCCTTCAGAGGGAAGTGCCCCCGGGCGCCGTGCACACGCAGAGCTGTGAGGTGATGGCGCGGAGCGACTTCCTGAACCACCAGCTGTGAGAAGCTCACAAGTGGCATCGCTATCTAGTTGAAACGCCTCCAGCTCTAGCTCATGAAATGAGGCTACTGGGGCAGGAGGGGGACAGGGAAGGGGAAGGGCCGAGCAGAGCCCCGCACCCACCGGCCACTTGGCCTCCTTGTCTAGCAGGGGCCTCTGAGCCTTTCTGAGCCAGCACGTGCGGCGCTGACTCTACTGGTGTGGAGATGGGGTGCTGGCACTCTTGCCTCGGGCGGGGGGTCTGCCATGGGGTGTGGGCCGCAGTCTGTATGTCACCCGGTTTTCCAGGAGGCCCAGGGCATCCCCAGATGTACCATGTGCCTCAGACCAGGGGGCTCCTGCCTCTGCCCCCTGGGCCCGCACAGCCCCTGAGCGATGCTTAGACGACCTGGAACAGACCTCCTCCTCCCTGGACACGGTCACCTGGAGGCTCAGCCCCTGCCCAGCGCGCAGACACTTCGTGGCTTTTAAGCAGAAGCCAAGTGGAAGCTCTGAGAGGCTGAGCTGACGGGTCAGTGAAGCCATCACGCAGGCCTCCAGGGGCTGCACTTCCCGGCCGGCCGCGTCTCACATTTCCCTGTCTAATTGCCAGGCCCTCATCACAGCGACTGCAGCCCAGCGCCGGTGGGCGCGCTTCCCGAAGGAAACGCTGTCGGCTCCAGAGAGCTGTGCTGGGCCTTGTTTTCACGATGGGCAACATCAGAGAATCACGGGACGTGTAATGCGTGCGGGCGGGTTCCCCACTGCGTCATGGTCGTTTCCCGCGTATCTTGGGGATGCTACCTGGTGGCTTCTGTAACAGCTGCCTTCCTGTTCACTCCTGGCTAAACTAGTCACGATCCAGCCCTCCAAGGCTGCCCTGGGACCTGTCATTCAAACCGATGAGGCCGCTTTTTAGTGGGGAGTTAGTGCTGATCTGTTCTGAGAGAAATCACTTTATGATTCTTTCCTGACTATAAAGTAATACAGGTCCCACATTGCAGAAGCGTTAGGTCACACCAAAATAGAATTCTTAAAAAGTAAAAATCACCCGCAATTCACCTCGAGAGCAACCTTTTAACGCTTCCTTGTAGACCCTTCTAGATTTTAAAAATCTACTTAAATGTACACAAACGTGTGCCCTCCCGCCTCGTGGTGCGCGGTTTTCACCAAAACGCCCTGAGGGGACTGCTGAACTCGTCAGCTTTCCTGAAGCAACGCCCTTCTTCCCGGTGCCACGGCCACCGAGGACCCTCGATAACGTAGGTGAATTTCTCAGATGGTGTGCGGAGAAGCCGCCGTACCTACCCTTTACACCGCTGCTCCAACCCGATGCTGTGAACTCGGGATAGTAACTGCCCCTCCTGCGAGCGGGCACCTGGACTTGGCGTTATGGCCTCGTTAGCCTGGGACCGCCGTGAGCTCCCTCTCAAGTCCTGTGGGTTGTTTCAGGGTAAGAATCTTAGCAGGTTTCGCCGTCCCTTCGGGCGCCGCCCTGCGCGGCTCCTCCCAGTGGACGAGGAGAGCAGGGCCGGCAGAGGACCCTTCCCTTTGCTGTGAGGTTTCCCTCCGGAGAGTGACGGGAATGACTGCTAGTTCGTGTCCACTTAGAGGCGCTCGGGGAATGCCCTGGAGTCTGCCGAGGGGGTGTTTATGGAACTGGTGACCACTCGTCACATAAGAGTAACCTGGCTAACGCTTACCACGCACTTACTACCGCCAGACGCCATAGGGACCGCCCTGAGCACTCGAAGCCGTCCTGTGAGCTGCAGAGCATGACTTAGGGTTTAGCCCAAGCACAGCCCAGCACCCCAAGCGCCTCCCTCCTGCTCCGTCACCCACTGTGTTGAGAAATCACCTTTGCGCCTCCGTTTCTCACCCACCCTGACGTAGAGGTGTTGCATAGCTGGTGCAAAGGCGTCCTCCATGCCCGGCATTTTTGCTTGGAAACTGTCTCCCTGCTAGGAATCGCCTCTTCTTACACCCCATCCCACACCCCCCGCCCTGCCCCCGGCCAGCCTTCCCTTTCCCGATGGCAGTGTTTCAGCCGTCGGCAGGCACGGGGTTCCCACGGGAAGTCACGGGGTCTGTGTGCAGGCTGCTGAGAGCCGGCGGGTCCTGCTGGGCCGGACCTCGCAGGGGCGCCAAGGCCCGCAGGCTCTCGCCATGCGGAGCGTTCACGCACAGGAGCCCCTAATGTGAATGGTCATGTCTTATTCATGACCAGGATCTAAAATAGCTGCTTAGAGCTCATTCGCGGCCACTGCGCGGTTTCCTCCGATGCTGAAGTTACTGCCCTGCTCCCACGGCTCTGGGGAGCTAACGGAGCAGCTGCGTTGGATCGGAACAGACATTTCCCGTCTTCAGGGGTGAAGGCCCTTCCCAGCAAAGCCACTCCGTTCCCTTCCGTCTAGAAACGTGGCCCGGAGGTTCTCCGAACTGTCGCTCCGGCCGTCCCAAAGCCGGGTGAGCTCCTGCCCCGATGGGGCCGCTGCGGCTTCTGGCTGATGGGCGTAGCTCTCGGGAGCAGCCCACGAGGAAGCCTGCTGAGTGAGGCTCGGGCAGGGAGAAGGGCTCTCCACGGGGCCGGGGCCGGGGCTGGGGGCCGGCTTGCCAAGAGCATTCAGACAGAGGGACCAAGGTGTGCAGACGCCACATGGGGAGGGTGTGGCAGGGGCCGAGGAGGAGGGGACGGAGGGTTGATTGAGCACACGGGCCAGGAGGAGGCCCGAGGCAGGGAGGGCCCCTGGGAACGCGGGACCCAACCCCAGGAGCGCCAGGGCCGCCGCACCAGAGCTCCGTCTGCAGGTGAACGTGCATCCTGTGTGCTGTGCGCAGGGCGCCTGCGAGGAGATGGGGCAGCCTGGGGGACAAAGGCCCTTGGGCACTGAAGGCCCGTGGGCCCTGGTCCACCCCCCAGCCACAGGCCAGCCCTGGCCTCCTGTGCCGCCCGCGGGGAGCCCTGAGGAGGGCTTCCTCTGCCTGGGCTCTGACGCAGCCGCTGGGGAACGCAGCCCACGGCTCTGCACCCCCAGGATCGCTCTCAGAGGCTGGTCCGCGTTCCGTCCCGGCACAGCGAGGGCGGGCAGGGCATCCTGGGTTGCCCGGCAGCTCTGCCAGAGCCTTTCTCCAGTTACAGTCAAGGCCGAGTCCCGGCCTGAGCCAGCGGCTGGTCCCTGATGTCGCAGCCACGGCGGGCTGGGTGGGGCGGGCAGGGCTTGGGGACAGACGCCAGGCTCCTGCAGTCACCACGGGCCCGTGAGATGCTCCTCGGGACGTTCTCAGGGAGGACTGGGGGCTCAGCTCTGAAATCGGGGGCTTCCCTCGAGTCCTCGCTTCGGCCAGGGCTGGACACCAGTTCGTGTGCTCGCCGTGTCCCTGGCGCTGTGTTCCTGGGGAGGCCGTGGGTGTCACCTGAGCAGGGCTCTCGGGAGGCCTCTGGTCACGTCTGTGGGAGCCAGGTGGCCCGCGGAGAGGCTGGGGTTTGGAGTCGGAGCCGCTGCCCGAGACCCCGCTCTGTTCCCCACAGGTCACCGCGTGTCAGCATGGCGGCCGCAAACCTGGAGAACCAGCTGCAGAGCGCGCAGAAGAACCTGCTGTTCCTGCAGCGGGAGCACGCGGGCACGCTCAAGGGCCTGCACGCCGAGATCCGGCGGCTGCAGCAGCACTGCACAGGTGCCCGCCCCGGGGGAGGGGGGGGCAGGGAAGCTTTGGGCGGGCTGGCTCGCCAGGCAGTGAGGGGTTCCTCTCTGATGGGGTGACCCGTCACCGGGAGACCACGGACTTGTGCCAGAGGAGAGCGGGGCAGCCAGTCCCGGGCGCACCTCGAACCCATGGGTCCAAGTGCAGTGGTCAGGACTGGCAATGCAGTTGGGGACCGTTGACCAAAGCGTCACGTAGCAGAGCCAGCTGCTGGCAGAATGTGGGGGGTGGGATGTGTTTTAGGGGAGATGGGGTTTCCTCTGGACCCTCAGAAGGGCGGTGGCCACTGGTAGCTTCTGCCGCTGTCACGCTTGCCCCTAACCCCGACCTGCCTGGGGGAGGGGGTGAAGTGGGGACTCCCGGCTGGTGGCTCGGTTTCAGGGCTGAGCAGGCCTGGGCAGGGCAGTGCGCTGTGACCACACAGAACCAATGCCTGTGGCTTCCTTTTCAGATTTAACGTACGAGCTGACACTCAAAAGCTCAGAACAGACAGGTAAGAACTGCCTCTGGAGGGGCGATGGCGCCGGCTCCCGCGGGGAAGGCTTGCATGTGGCCAGAGCGCTGGGCGGGGACCCCGCTGTTCCCAGGGCAGCGGCGGGAGGAATGACGCTTATGTTTGGGGGGCCTCTTCACACCTCTCCGGACTTCCTGATTTTTATAGTGAATACAGTCCCTTCTATAATGGACGTGACTTAAACCAGGAGGAGGATGCGGTGTAGGGCAGCCCAGGGCCCAGGGAGGGGGACTGAGCACTAGGTAGCCCCAAACGTGGCGGAGGTCCTTCCTTAGACTCCAGAATCCTCGGGGTCCCCTGGAAATCATCAGCCGGGTGGCCGCCAGGGCAGGAGAGGGGGCCTGCTCCCAGCACGGGGTGGGGACTTAGCAGAGTCCAGAAGCCCTTTCTAAGTAGCCTGTTTGTACGGCGGATACAGTCCAGTGCGCCCGCTCCTTGTCGGAGTCACGGGTCTCGTCCACGAGGCTCGGCGCTCGCCAGGCCCTGAGCCTGGGTTTGTATTTCCGTCTCCCGTGTGCGCCTTTCAGGAGCCAACGCTCTGAGACTGCCCGTATGGCCTCAGCAGCTGGTAAACTTGGAGGCTTCTTTTATACAATAAACAGGCTAAGAGCTGGCAGGACCTCGGGCACCGGCCCCAGCCCTGTGGGGGTCCGCAGCCGTCCCCGTGGCGGGCTCTCACCGGCTGTGCCTGTGCCTGCAGGGGACGGACGCAGCAGCAGCGACCTGCAGAGACGCTGCGAGGACCTGGAGGCGCAGCTGAGGGCGAAGGAGCAGGAGCACGAGGAGCTGCTGCGCGAGCTGGAGCAGAGGAACGCGGCCATCGCGGTGCTGGAGACCACCGTGCGGGAGCGGGAGAAGCGGTACCTGGAGGAGCTCAAGCTCAAGAGCCACAAGCTGAACATGCTGTCGGGGGAGCTGGAGCAGCGCGCGGGCACCATCGCCTACCTGACCGCGCAGCTGCACGCCACCCAGCGGAAGCTGCTCAGCTCCAGCGGGACCTCGGACGGCAGCCCCGGCGGCAGCCCCGTGCTGGCCGGCTACAGGCCCGCGCCCCCCAGGGACAAGCTGCCCGAGACGCCCCGCCGCCGCATGAAAAAGAGCCTCTCCGCCCCCCTGCACCCCGAATTCGACGAGGTCTACAGATTTGGGGCCGAGAGCCGGAAACTCCTTTTGCGGGAACCGGTGGATGCCATGCCCGACCCCACCCCGTTCCTGCTGGCCAGGGAGTCGGCCGAAGTCCACCTCATCAAGGAGAGGCCCCTGGTCATCCCCCCCATCGCTTCCGACCGCAGCTCCGGCGAGAAGCACAAGGTCCACGTGGGCGTGGCCCACCGCATCCACCACGCGGTCCCGCCGCAGGCACAGCCTGAGGTGGAGACGCTGGCGGTGGACCAGGTGCGCGGGGGCGCGGGCGTCAGGAAGAACTCGGGGACGGACAGAACTGTGTGAGGCTGCCACGCCCGCCGCTGTCCACACTGTGATCACCGCTGCGGAACGCCCACACGCCGTTTGTTTAGTTTCCATGCATGCCACACTCAGACCCGCCACCGTTCCCCTCCCACCCCCCGTCTCTCACCCACGTGCTCGTGTCCCGCTACAGCTCCTGTAGCAGCTGTGCCCCACGCCTGTGCCGCATGGCCTGCTTCCCGCACACCCGTGTCCCGGCGCGTGGACAGCGGCCCGCAGGCTGCATGCTGCTCAGTGTCAACGTGGTCAGATAGCCACTCCCATGGAGACCCCTCACCTCCTGACAGGCCTTTCCCGGCGGCCCCGGCGGCAGGTGTATGTGTATGTCACGGGAACTAAATAAGATGACGTTGCTTCTCATATCACCGCAACCTGAATGTGTGTTCATATTTTTTGTTAAGTTTTAGCCGAAATGTTCAAGATCCCAACAAACTTTATTTTCTAAACCTGCCTCCTCTCTGTTTTGTGTCTTTTATTGAAGCAGCGAGGGAAGGAGGCGGCTGGGAGGGAGACGGCGGGGCCTCCTGTAACTGCTGTGTTCTCGCCCAGACAGCGGCCTCACCCAGGGACACGGCCCGTTGGGGGTGCGGGGGGTTCACTTCTGAAAAGAGGAGTCCCTGTTGTCTCCCGCTGCCCAGAGCTACCCCGCGGAAGGAAGGGTCTGGCAAAAGCGACTTGAGGCTGAGGCTGGCCGCCTGGTGCACCGAGTGCTCGCCTGCCCCCCTCACAGTGAGGCCTCCTCACCTTGGCCGGCCGGCCGGGCCCCAGGCTGGCCCCACGGTGCCATCCAGGAGGTGGCCATCGTGCACCCAACCCACAGACCCAGGAGGGTGGTGGGGGCTCACGCAGGAATGAAACACCGAGCTCACAGCATTGCACACGCGGGAGGCGGAGGGCTCTGGGAGGGGAGGGGCGGCTGCGGGGCCCTGGCCCAGGGGAGGGGCTCTGCCTGACAGGCCGCAGCCTGGCCATCTGCCCCCGGAGGCATCTCCGGAGATGCACATGAGGGTCCTCCCTGTGCCAGGGACACGCCAGGCCCTTTGGCTTAAGTGTTTCCTCTGAGAAGGAAAAGAAACCCTCAACATCTTCGCACGCTGTCCTTTAGAATTTACTTAACTCCTTAAAAAAGCTTCAAAAACAAAGCCGTGCAGCCGAATTTTATGGGAGAGAGGAAAATGGCTGATTTCAAGTGAAAGGAAACCCCCATTGCTGCCTCTCGAGAAGCCCCCCAAACGAGAGTGGACTGAGAGCCCCTCACGAGCCCCTCCCCGGGGTCAGTCGGAGTTCAGGGTGAGGCACACGCCCTGCAGCACCCAGTGGGAGATGTGCCTGGTGGTGAAGAGGTCGGCCTCGAAGACCAGGCCCACGCCCATGGCGTTCCTCCTGGTGGAGGTGGTGTAGACGGGCGTCCGGAAGGTGTTCTGCAAAGGAGAGGCATGCGGGGTGGGGGGTGCCGGGGGTGGGGGGAGCCCATCACCGGGGGCGGGGGTTTCCGGGGGGCCTCGGGGCTCTGCAGTGGGCCCTCCTGCGAGACGCATCTAAGCCAGCACGTGGCCGGGCTTTGAGGGCGGTCCTGCCCTAGCTCAGCCCTAGCTTAACGTGGACACGCGTGTTGGGAGGAGACCTGGGCCGGCGAAGCTGGACTGACCCCGCACTGCCGCAGACTCTCCGGGAGCCCGCAGTCCCTCCTGAGGCCCTGCCCCACCCAAGTCTGCGTGCACGCGTGTGCTCACGTGCATTTTCCTGGGCAGTGGCTCCACGCGGGCATCATGCCTCACGGGCTTCCCTCCCCGGAAAGGGTGGGCTGCCTGGCCTGTGCCTGCAGCCTGGGGTGGCGGGGGGAGGGGTGGAGTGCGGGAGGCCGCCCACCTGCAGTTTGAGGCGGTGGGCCTCGATGGGGATGATCTTGAGGATGGGCAGGTCCACCACCAGCACCTTGGGCTTGCTCTTGACCAGACAGCCTCTCTCCAGGTCCCAGTCCGCGCCTTCCAGGTACAGTCCTGACACAAAGCACCCTAGGGAGCCAGGAAGGGACCGTTACGCAGAGGCACAGGCGTGTGTGTCGCACAAACTGGGAGCGTGCCCGAGCCTTCACCACGAGTCCCCTCGGAGCTGAGGGAAACGCCCCGACGCAGACACAGGGCTGGAGGGAGACAGCGGGGTCAGCTGCACCACAGGCCAGACCCGTGTCGGAGGCAGGCGACGCCCAGCCCAATGGGACGGGCCTGTCTAGTCCATCGGCTCTGGCTCCCGGGCCCGGCCCTCAGGGTTTGCGGGGAGGCCACTCGGTGCCCCGTCCTCTGAAAGGTCTGACACTGACTGGGGAGTCCACTCTGCACAGAAGGAAAGGTGAGCGCGTCCAGGTCTCCCCGACATCACCCAGCACTCGACAGAGACCCTGGCGGAGAAGCGATGTGCCCCGGGCGTGTCCCCCCACGGCCTGGCCCACTGCTCCTCCCTCAGAACCGGGGGCGGCGCCGGGCCGGGACCCCCCAGAGGCTGTGGTCCACAGGCTGCTGCACCTTGTCCTGCCCGCTCAGTCACTTCATCCGCGTCCTGGAACTTGGTCACCTGCGTGAACAGGGTGGAGCGGTCCAGGGGCCAGCCGTTCCGCCGGCAGGTGGCCTGCACCAGGGCCGTGAGGTAGGACTCCGGGACGTGCAGCCCCGAGAGCCACATCACGTTGGGCTCGCTTTCCACGACCTGCAGAGCAGACGGGCAGCTGCATCAGATGTTGGTCAAAGCGGACGGACCCTGCGCTCACGGTAAAGTCACCGTTCCCGTTGGGGCCGGAAGATGGTGATAGGACCCTGGCAGCCGATCCATGATTCTCTCTCATCATTGATGTTTCTCTCTCTCTCTCCCTCTCCCTTCCTCTCTGAAGTCAATAAAAAAATATTTTTAAAAAAGGCAATTTCACAGAAGTAGTACCACAAACTGTGAGATATACCCAGCCTCCCCCTAACCAAAGACACGCACATCCGGACAATCACGTCACCATTTACCGACCGGGGACAAGACGTGCAAACATTCACACACAGCACCGGGGAGAGCGCTCTTGGCCGCCTGCACCCAACCTCCCCTCCTCCGGGCAAGCGTCAGGGTTTCAAGGGCACGCACTCGGGCCCCGTAGGCATGCTCGGGGAGCAGGCTTGAGTGAGCACCAGGACACGGGCCAGGCTGTCGCCTGTGCCGGCAAAGGGAGAGCCCCGGTGACCACCTGGATGTCCAGCACGGGGAGGCCCCGGTTGCCCGTACAGTGGGCACCCCCAGAGGAGTGAGGCGGGTCTAGGGGGACTTAGATGGACAGGTGCCGAGACAGACTCTCCAGTGAGTGGGCCGAGCTGTGCCAGCGCCTTCAAGGTCTTCAAACAGGAAAAGGAAGAGACACAGATGTGCTGGCAGAGCACCGTCAGCCGCTAGCAGGGTCAGCACAGGGGCGGGGTGGGGCGGGGTCCGCAGGGCACCAGCGCCCCCTCACCCAGGACGTGTACTGGCTGAAGCGCCGCAGGAAGTAGAGCATCCAGTTCCCGAGGGACTTCAGGGTGTCGGGGGCCAGCTTCCTCCAGATGTGAGGGATGTTCCCGATGAACAGCGACCTGGCCACGTCGTCCAGCTCACTGCTCATGCCCACTTCCCCGGCCAGGGCCTGCGGCGGGATGGGGAGCGGCAGGCGGCGGTCGGGCCAGCCCTGTGGCGCGGGGAGCCTGGCGCCCAGCCGCCTGCCCGGGGAGCAGCTCACCCTCTGCAGCTCGGCCAGGGAGCGGGACATGCGGACCAGCAGCTTGTTGAAGCGCTCCAGCTCCTGCAGCAGCACTACCGACGTCGGGGTGATGCTCGCGCCCAGGTGCCTCCGGACCAGGTCCAAGTCGAAGACCTTGGGCATCTTGTTCTCTATGTCCTTGGCCACGTTGCCAATGTAATCCTCTCGGCTGATGCCGCTGCTCGATTCCCCTAAGGGCAGGACGCTCGTGAGGGAGAGCAAGGCGCCAGGCGAGGGGCGAGGGGCTGGGCAAGGCGGCAGCGTGGCGGAAACTCGAGGGACCAGAGGCAGAGCCCTGCCTCACCCCGGGCCCTGGACGCGCCCCTCCGGGCGGACTACCTGTCTGAGGCTGCAGCTCCAGCAGGTGAGACCACAGGTCCCGGGCGGCCTGCGTGTAATACCCGATCTCCGCGTTGGGGTGGAGACCGAACACCTCGGGCGTGTTGGCCAGCGGCAGGGCCTCGATGGCTTCTACAGCACAGACAGCGACGTCACCGCGTGCACCCTCCCTTTCGGACACGCAGACGCACGCCCGCTGCTCCGCGCACGGTTCCAAGCACAATTCTACCCCGTCCGCCCCGTCCAGCCCCACCTCCGTTTGTTATGAAACGGCTGTGACCTTCGCGGGGCCAGAATCTGCCACATCTGCCGTCACTCAGGCCAGGAAATCAGAACCAACGCCGTCAGCTCCGAGGCCCACACCCACCCACCAAGGAGGCCCCCCCCCACCCCCGGGTGAGGGGACAGAAGAGACAGAAGAGCCCTCACGCCGAGAGAGCCAACACCGCTGACATGTGGGCTCCCTGAGAAAAGACCTGGAGAGACTGTGTCTGGGAAACCCACCCACGAAGCGCTCCTTGGGGTCGCCCGCGCCCGCGGGGATCTTGTAGTCCACCTCCTTGTTGTGGAAGAAGTGGAAGGGCTGGAAGGTGTCGAAGATGAAGTCCCCCAGGTACTCGTCCATGTAGATGGTGAGGATGCGGCGGTCGAAGCTGTCGATGGCCCGGCCTCCGTACATGACCTGGGGTCCCGGGAGTGAGAACCGGAGCTTTTGTATTAAAGAAACAGACAAACCAAAACGCAGAGGCAGCACTTCTGCCTGGAAAGGTGACGCTGCTGTCCCTCCCACGAGCCTGCACAGCCCTGCCCCCAGACGGAGCCGGGCACTGCCCACTCCCAGGGACAGCAGCCTCGGGCAGGGAGCGGAGCCGCGTGCGGCCAGGGCTCTCGGAGGACAGACCACGGGGTGTGAGCAGCGGGGTTCAGAGACCCAGAGCCAGGGCAGGAGGAGCAAGGCGAGTCCAGCTCCACGACAGGTCAGGGTGCCAGGCCACAGCCCCGCTCCCGCCCAGGTGGCTCCCTGAGGCCTCCGACCTCTCCAATCAGGTACTTGAGGCTGCCCCACGGGATCCGAGTGTCGCGCTGCTGGAAGGCTTTGGTCAGGTACGTGTTCAGAATCTCCATGCAGACCTGAGGGGGAGGGGGAGGGGGAGGTTCGCCGGCACGTTCCCGGGGACACGGGGAGGAGGGAGGACGTCCCGGGGAAGCGGGGGCCGCGCACCTGGAAGTCGGACTCGTTGAAGTCGTAGGAGACGTTCCAGCCGATCTTGCCGAACTTCCTGCGCTCCTGCACCACGGCGTGGAAGAAGGCCAGCACGTACACCAGCGGCTTGAACGCGGGGTGCGGGCAGTGCTCCAGCATCTCGTTCGAGATCTTGAAGTAGGTGGCCCTCATGTTGAGCTTCAGCCCGTTGGGCGGCTCCGTGACGACCTGGCAGAGGAGACAGAGGGTGACGGACCCGCAGGCCTGCACGCAGCACAGGAGCGTGACGTGGAGGCGTCCTGGCTCCCCTCTCACTGCGTGGCCGGCAGCCTCTCCCTGCGCAGCGCCGTCTGTGTGAGGGGCCGGGAGCCCTGAGGAGCTGCAGGCTCTTCTCCGAGGCTCCGCCATGTGCTCAGCAGACGCCCCGAGAAGGCCCTGCAGCCCCCGACCGGGGCCTGGGATGGAAGGTGAGAGGAGCCACGTTTCCCTCTCGCCGCCCCAGAGACAGACGCAGAGCCTGTGCACACCGTGCTCTGGAGGAGAAGTAAATGCGCATAAACCACGCGGAGCTTCTGCACGGCCCGAGGACGCGGGCGGGTGGCCTGTCCCAGGGGCAGCCGTGCAGACGGACCCGGGCTTTGGGCGCAAGTGGGAGAGGCAGGCCTGGGAGCTGCACCGTGACCGGTCACTGTCACCCAACCAGGGCAGTGCTTCTCTGGGGAGGGAGGGAGGGAGGGAGGGAGGGAATTGGGAAGGGGTGTGTGGAAGGTCCCAATCACATCCGATGTTTGTTTATAACACACACACATGCACACACACGCACGCACACACGTGCGCACATGCACACACGGTGGGTCCGCGGTGTCTACCGGCGCCTGACCTTCAGGGACTTCTGCAGGATGCCGATGGGGAAGCCCTGGGTGGGGTCGGTGGTGAGCCACAGGCGGAAGTCGGGGTGGGGCTTGGTGATCCGCTCCAGGGACTTCTCCAGGTCCTTCAGCCACTTGACCAGCAGGTGGCAGTTCTGCAGCATCAGCCACTGCCCACGAGCCACCGCTGTCTCCAGCAGCTGCAGGGCCACCTGCCCGCAGGGAGGGAAGGCTGGTGCCCGAGCCCCGCCAGCCTGGACTCTCCCAAGGCCCGCCCTAGCCCCCAGCACCAGCAGAAGCGGAACCCCATCTCGTGGGTTCCTCCTGGGCCCTGTGCCCTGGGCAGGTCCCCGCCCAGAGCCCCATGGCCCAGGAGATCCCACTCTCCCTGCTCCTGACCAAGTATCAGCCCTGCCACGGGCGGAGACGCTCTGACCTGCAGGGGAGCTGCGGGGGTGGAGGAGGGACAGTGAAAGGGCATTGAAAAGAGCAACACGCACTGACCACACGCTGGTCACAGCCCGCAGCAAGCCGGCCCCAGGCCATACTGCCCTCGCCCTCACACTCACCCTGGCCATAACTAAAGCTCTAGCACTAACCCTAACCCTAATCCTAGCCCTGCCATAGCCCTAACCCTAATCCTAACTGTAACCTAGCCCTAACTCTAACTGTAGCCCTAACACTAATCCTAACTGTAGCCTGAGCCCTAACTCTAACTGTAGCCCTAACACTAATCCTAACTGTAGCCCGAGCCCTAACTCTAACTGTAGCCCTAACACTAATCCTAACTGTAGCCTGAGCCCTAACTCTAACCGTAGCCCTAACCCTAATCCTAACTGTAACCTAGCCCTAACTCTAACTGTAGCCCTAACACTAATCCTAACTGTAGCCTGAGCCCTAACTCTAACTGTAGCCCTAACCCTAATCCTAACTGTAGCCCTGGCCCTAACTCTAACTGTAGCCCTCACCCTAATCCTAACTGTAGCCCTGGCCCTAACTCTAACCGTAGCCCTCACCCTAATCCTAACTGTAGCCCTGGCCCTAACTCTAACCGTAGCCCTCACCCTAATCCTAACCGTAGCCTGAGCCCTAGCCCTGACACTGTTCAAGCACATGCTCTCGGCTTTGAAGGCCATAAGTGGCTCGAGCTCATGTCGAGCGGCCCAGACATAACTCCTCCCCAGCAGAGGCCGGGACCGGCTCCTTCCAACCACCGGTACCTTCTCCTGGCCTTGCCCCATGGCGAGGAACTTGAGGCGGTTTCCCCCAAAGCCAGTTTGCTCGGCCAACTTCATGAGGTCGCTGGCGGGGTCGGAGCCGGGGCTCAGGATGAACACGATGGGCGAGTTCGGGGTGCTCTGCTCGAAGATGGCCTCGAAGCTGATCATCGGGGGCTGCACGTACCTGGGGAGAGCCGCTCCCCAGCGTTAGGGGGCTCCTGTCCGACCAGCGCACTGTCCCCGTGTCTACCACCTGGGACATCACCCCAGCTCTCGGCGCCGCCCGCCTCGTGTGAGGGCCCCGTGTCTGCACCCCACTCATGGCGATTGTTTCATTTTAACAACAGTGCGTCTCGCACACTGCGTTTCGCTAGCAGAGCGCAGTCGTGTGGCGATCGTTACGCTCAAAGATGGCGCTGCGAGCTTCTCCAGCAGCTGGCCCGCCTCGGCCGCCCGAGAGTGCGGGAGGGGGCCCCGCACAGAGGCCTCGCCAGCACCCGCACCGCACTTACTTCTCCCCCATGGTGACCGTCACGTAGTCGGTCACAGCGCGGTAGACCCGGTCCACGCGGAAGCAGCGCAGGATGAGCAGCTTCTGGAAGGGGGTGATGCTGCTGTCGTAGCCCAGGGGGAAGGGGGACTGCTCCAGCGCGTCCAGGTCATACCACTGGAAGGCAGAGGCCCCGTCACGTGGAGGCCCGGGAGGGTCGCCACGTGGGCAGCGCACGGACAAGGCAGTGTGCGCAGCAGCGTGGCTCCCAACACAGGCTGGGAAGAACGTCCAGGCCTCCGCTCCTCCGAGCTGTCCTGTCCCTCCCACGAGCTGTGCCCTTCAGGGAGGGCAGGTCTGCGTCTGAGTCACC